AGTCGAACAGGTGATTGTTTACGGCCCGTCTTTCCATGTTTATACAGAGGGTGGTTATCATAATCGACCTGAAAACAAATAAACAGCATTGGACTTTTACTCCCTGTAGAGTTCATGTGTTATTTCATTCATTAATATGATATTCCTATATTACCTGGTAATCCAGCATAGAGAACGAGGGGAAACACTCAAGGATACGGGACTCGAAGAAGTACGGGAAAATCCAGATCATTGGCATCTCAGCTGAAGCATCACTCACTGAAGATTATATCAAGAACAACAGGTAAACAAATATATAAAACAATCTTTTAATACACATTTACTCATCCTCATGCAATTCCAACCCTATATTTTTCTTACTTGGAATATTAAAAAAAGAAATTTGTTTTTTTCCCCATGTAACCATACAAACATATGCAGAACTGTATGTCCTACTGCACCCAACCCGGTCTGAGCTGGGATTGGACCGGGCATCCTTTGTATGAGCGTTGGTTGTTCTAACAAGGAGGCTAAAGACCATGGCCCTTTAGCGTCTGTTGTTACAGCACATTTTGTGGTCAGAGGAGTGGGGTTTACCTGCATAGCACTTCGCTAGCTGGCCTCCGATACAAGTTTTTTTAAATATTCATGACAAAGGAGCAACCAGTAAAATCTACTGCTATTTCTCTGTTCACCATTTGCTGAAGATATCAACAAGTAAGAATGATACGATTGACTACACCTCATTCCACCTGAAGGGCTCCTTCTCTTTCTTGGAAAGTCAAAATAGGAATTAAGCCAAACCGCAAAGGTTACTTGTTTTTTGTGTAATTACAGTAGAGCTTCATGTTTCAACCTTCAAAAGCTACGCTGAAGTACTACAAAACCTAAAATGGTCAGTGTCTTAACATTTTAATTCATGTTCATCTTTAGAATACAAATTGAAATGAAATTCAAAGGATTGTTCACCCAAAAATGAATATTTCCTATTATTTTACTCACCCACAGGTCATCCAAGATGTAGTAAAACATTAAAGAAGATTTTGAGCTGAATTTGTGGTCCTAGGTCATTCTGACAATGTAAGTCAATGGTGAAAATCTTTTGAGATTAAAACCAAACACATACAAACAAGTCCAAATCAATGGCCATGGCTCATGATGACATTCTAAGGTCTTGTGAAGCAACATGATCGATCAGTGTATGAAACTGAACCTTATATACAATCGTAGCTTTAATCCACAGCCTGGTCAAACAGATTTTGGCGCATTTGCAAATATAATCTGATTGTAGCACGGTCATTTTAATGATGAATGTGTGAGGGCTAGTGATGAAATTACCAATATTTATCAGCAAATTGAGTCATCTGGCTTCCTGTCCAGTCATGTGCATTCGTCATCAGATTGACTGGACTACAATCGGACTACATTTGCACATGTGCTGAGAACAGTTTACCAGGCTGTAGATTAAAGCTAATAATATTGTATATTAAGTTTAATTTCTAACACAGACTGATCATTTTGCTTCACAAGACCTCAGTGTCACCAAGCCATTTTTGTATGTGTTTACGTTTATTCTCTAAACTACGATCATCATTTACTGCCATTATAAAAATCCCCACAGATTCAGTTTAAAATCTGTTCTACTGAATAAAGAAAGCCACTTTCATCTTGGATTACTTGCATGAAATTAACAGGAAGTTGTTCATTGTAATTGGAAAATAATAAAGCTACAAGAATAAGTTTTTTTGCATTTGTAAAATAAAAATTACTTTATTCAACAGTTTCTTCTCTCTGTGTCAGTATATTGCGCACGTTGATCTGTATGTGTGTCCCACTGGGTTGTCTACTGAAGTCTTGTCGCCCATCCAAGTTTTAGGAACAACAAATAATAACTTGACTTCTAGTTAATCATTTAGTATCTGAAGGGGCTTATATGAAAGGCAAAGGCCTCTAGATTAAGATTATTTTACCAAAATAAAATATGATCATGCCTTGATTTTAAATCATTTAATTAGGACAGTAAGGTCGAACTTTGCTTACACAAAAGTCTTGTCACTTTGCATAAATAGCATACAGTATAGAATATAAAGTCATGGTGCAGTGGAAAAAATAAATAATATTGTGTATGACTCCCATGAGCTTGGAGGACTGCATCCATACATCTCTGCAATTACTCGGATAACTTATTAATAAAGTCATCTGGAATAGCAAAGAAAGCGTTCTTGCAGGACTCCCAGAGTTCATCAAGATTCTTTGGATTTATCTTCAATGCCTTCTCCATCTTACTTCAGACATGCTCAATAATGTTCATGTCTGGTGACTGGGCTGGCCAATTCTGGAGAACCTTGACCTTTTATGCTTTCAGGAACTTTGATGTGAAGGCTGAAGTATGAGAAGGAGCACTATCCTACTGAAGAATTTGCCCTCCCCTGTGGTTTGTAATAGGGCTGCACGATTCTGGCAAAAATGTGAATCATGATATTTTTTGCTTAAAATCAAGATCACAATTTTGTCATGATTATGTAAATGTTAAATAAAGGTTAATTTGGTTAGCGTATTATTATTGTTAATTCTCAAACATATGGCAAAACAACAATAATATTAGACCTATGTGTAGGTCTACTGTTGCTTAAAATGCTACATTTTGTATAGTCATTATGGTGGACTTGAACAGACGTTCAATATGTCCTGTTTGTTAATTCACAGTAAAATTATGACATCAGAATATAACTATTCATAATTATAAAGTTGATTTATTATGTTTAAGACGTGCTTAAACTATTATTTTCATGCACAACACTTTGTGTTCGCTATGAAAGGAAAAAACATACTAAATGCTTTTCGTAATCATTACTCTAAAATGCCATATGATCATTTAAATGATGTGCAGCCAGGTTTCACTTTCACTTCCGAGTGCGGCTCATGGCTGCTGTCACTGTGAGAAAAAATACACACATGCAAATTAAACCTCCTGCTCGGCCATCAAACGATCACTCTGTGCAACAAACTGAACGTTATTTACAACTTCATTTCCTGTAATTCACAGCCCATGCAGGTTGTGTTCACAAAAGTAGGGGTCATGCGTGCACACACGAGTTCTCGGTAGTAAACAAACAGTGCGTCAGTTCACGTGTGATTTCGCGGCAGCGAATCCATCATTACATGAAGACAGAAATGACATTTTTGGGGGAATTATACCTTATGAAAACAGTATGTGACACTCTTAACGCCATTTGAAGGTGTCAATGCTGCTGTGAAGACTTGTGCAACTGCCTTGCTTTTCTCCTGACCTTGAAAATAGAATTGGCTGAATCGTAAAAAAAGCTGAATTAAGATCGTGCGTAGGGTCGAATCGAGATCGTGATCTTTTTTCGATTAATCGTGCAGCCCTAGTTTGTAATGTAATGGGCAGCACAAATGTCTTGATACCTCAGGCTGTTGATGTAACCCCAAACCATGATTTTTCCTTCAGCAAACAGAGAATCTTGGGTTTATGTGAGTTCCAATAGGTCTTCTGCAGTATTTGTGATGATTTGGATGCAGTTCAACAGATAATTCATCATAAAAATCTACCTTCTGCCATTTTTCCAAATGATCAACTAGAAGTCAGTTTATTTTTGTAGCTCTTACAACTGGGATCGACGACAAGACTTTTGTCAGGTAGTGTAAACCACCTTTTCAGTTCATATGAGTAGATATTTGGATCCAGATGCAATATAAAACTAGTATGTTTGTGTAGTGTTCATCAATTGGTACTTGTACTTAAAATCAACTACTTAAAATGTTTAATTTTCAAATTGCTTTTACTAGGTTAATCCTTACTTTTACTTTTAGGTGTACACTTTTAAGTGTTTGATTATGTGATTGTGAACCATAAAAAAATAGCCTAATGTTGCACAGGTATATTTTGTCAATAAATACAATGCATTGTTGTTACGACTGAAGTTTATTTATTTATTTATTATTGCCAATTGCACGTCTTTTTCTTTGTCCCGCCTTCCTGTTGTTTTTCTGTTATTCCATAGGCTCCCATACCGGGGTGATCTTAAGTTCTGATTGGCTGCTGGTCTAAGAGGCATGTATATAAAGGAGCTTCCAAAGGAGCCCAAAATGATTAATTTTACTATAATGCCACAAACTATTAGAATACTAAGTTCAATTCAATTCCTGTTCATTTATCAAAGAAGCTTAACATAGTTCTAGTAAAGTCCAGATTTAAGTAAATATCAAGTTCCATGAAAACATTTTGTACATTTCCTACCATAAATATATCAATACTTTGTATAAAAAAAAAAATATCAATAATATGTATTGGTAATTACTTATTAGTATCAACTTTAAGGGCAATTTTCTAATTATTTAGATTTTTTTGAACCCTAACATTCCAGATTTTTAAAAAGTTGCATCTTGCCCAAATATTGCATTTATTTATTCAACTTTTTCAGGTGACCTCACTTTCTAAAAATTGACCCTTGCGACTGGTTTTGTGGTCACATACAGTGTACTTAACTGGGAAAGCCTGCAGTTCCTCATACCTTTATTCAGATTTTTCCAGGTCATTGATATCTGAGAGAAACTGTTGGCTAGTGGCTTCACCAGGCCTCCAAATGGCGGGTCTGTTATCATGACTAACTTCTCTCCTCCTTCCTCTTGCAGAAAGCCTTGAAAAAACTTGACCGCTTCCTGCAAAACAGCACAGAATGACTTGGCGCACCATGTGCTATACCGTGACCACATTTGACGCCGACAAAGTTTTGCTTCTGTACCTCATCATCAAAGAAGTGATGGTTAAACATATTATAGCGACAGAACTCATCCTGTCCATAAAACTGGCAGTACCTATAAGAGGGGAGAAATACAATAGGTTGTTGAAAACACAAAATGAATGTAAAATGCAAGCATCAACATGCACTTCAAAATGGCTTAATGAAACCCACAATCTGATGTTATTTCCAAACCCTGCAGGTCAACAAGTTTAGAGCCGAGCAGACATATTCCTGTCAGTTATGAAAGACAGTAAAAGTGTGTACACACACATAGGCATACGCAGCAGGCTTTGGCATGTTAAAAAGGGGCTGAACACTTTTTCCAACACATTCCACAGACAAGCACACCACTGCATGCAGGAGGAAGAAATCAAACGCATTCACCAATTCTCTCATCAGTATCTCAGGTAAGTTGTTTTAATGCATTATATTATAGCACGTTTTATGCAACACTGATTTACATGATCAAAAAAATAACACTTGATATACAGTGTCAATGCCTATATTTAAACGATATGTGCAGACAACACAAAAATCTATGTATGATTCAGATTTTCAAGTTTATATTAAGGCTATGCACGTGATGTGTTCTAGGAAAGTCTAGCTGAGATATTTTAGCGCAGTTGTGAAATGTAAAAAGGAACTGCTTTGTACGTGCTCAGCTGATTTGGTCAGATAATTTTGGTGCTCAGTCATCTGCTTTGTGTATTTGCATGGCATGCACGGGATACGATTATCAGAACTAAAGGCCACCGAAGTGATGTTTGTGAGGGTTTACTAATTATTTTCTGTTCTGTTTAGTGAGTTGATAAATGGCAGAGAAAGACTTCAGGCCTTTATCAGAGGAAACCAGTTCCTTCTGTCTGGCTACTGAGGCTCGTTCGGGGGTACAAGTCACGCAACCCTTCCCACGCTCTCCAAAACTAATCAAGAGAACTGGAGCCGTCTCTCCAAAACCCTTTGAGGTAATGACAGATTTTTTTTAACCAGTCAGGCAGCCTACAGTACCTGAGACAACCTACAGGGGTCGTGCTAGTAGCTTTGTTTACAGACTGCAACAATAAAAATGACTGTTCAACCTGCACAGCCATTCAAACATTTGAGGATGGCAGGAGTTCTAAACATTTTTGTAAAAGTCTCCTTTATGCTCACCAAGGCTGCAGATCAGATGCAGTAAACTGTATTATTGTGAAACATTATTACAGTATAAATAACTTTTTAAATATAAATTAATACATTGTTTAGCTTCATCACTCCAGTCTTCAAAGTCAGTGTCTTTTGAAACAATATATATTGTATATATATATATAGATTAAAATGAACAAAAAGTATAGCCCTCTTGTGAAATTTTAATACTTTTGTCCCAAGAGCTGTTTAATGGAAAACATTTCTTTACACATATTTAAACACTAGTTTTAATAACTAATATCTTAAGACTAAATAACTTTTGTCTTTGCCATAATGACAGCACATATTTTACAAGTTATTTTGCAAGATACTAGTATTCCACTTTTATTTAAAAATCACATTTATAAGGGGTTTAAACAGTTCTGCAGAAACACCTTCATCGACATTCTGCCTTTGTACATGTCATCAATAGGGTGAAGCCCCGCCCATTAGTCATGATCTTTCCCTCATTAGTCTTGTTTTTGAGTCTGTCACTATGCTGACACATAGGCATTTGTAGCTCCACCATCTTTTGAAAAATGTTCAATCTCATTTGAATTTAAAGTGACAAAAAGGGGCAGTTTCAAAGAGTTATAAAACCTTATTTGTGGGCTATTTTGAGCTGAAACTTGTGGTTCTTATTTCTAGCAGTGGTGCTTATTTCTGTTCCTTGGTCCTAAAAACCACTGCCTTCATGCCTTCTTCGTCTCAAAGGGCTTTTTCAGTTTATTCATGACAATTTGCTTTTGTATAATGTTATTATTTTTAGCAGTATTATTTATTATATGCATATGTATATTTATTTTATTAAAAACAAGCTTAGATTTGCCCACCTGTCAGATTTTGGACCATATGGGGCACAGCAGGTGTATTTGGCTATAACTAGGGCCAGACGGAATCTGCGGACATTTTTTGCTATTTCTGCAGAGAATTTTGGTAAAAATCTGTGGATTTCTGCGAAATTATTTTGGGAGCATCCAGCGAGTATCATAATTAAAACGTTAATATATGAAATAAAAAGTAATAAATTACTGAATAAAAACGGAATAAATTCAGATTTACACATTTACTCAAGTAAATCAACAGAATTAATGATGTTCTAAAAATCGCCAGAAATCTGCGGAAAATCGGCGGAAAATCGGCGGAAAATCTGCGGAATTCTGCTCGTGCAGATTCCGTGTGGGCCTAGCTATTACTCTTTTTTTTTTTTGACCACACTGCGTTATTATTGTTCATTTATTTGTTTGCTGGAAATTAGAACTGAATTTAGAAATAGTTTTAAAAGAAATCTTTGCGCTTAACAAACAAAATTAATTATGTAGGCTAATTGATATATGTGCGTACAACACCATTTCCTTATCCACGAAAGAGAAAGTGAAAGTAACGAATAAAGAGGCTCATTCTTTTATTTCCGTGCTGCAGATGATCTGTTTAACTGTTTTCTCGCTAGTGAAGTGCTCAGTTTTTCCATTTACAAAGTCGTCATGTAAATAGCAAATGCGCTATGGCGCGACGCAACTGACTCTTAAAGGGAATAGGGGGTAAGACTCTAATTGGTTATTCTCAAAACACACTTATAACTCATTAAGAGAATAAGCTCAACTCTGTTAGACCATGCTCCGCGAGGCAAAGCAGGTTTTTCCGTCCTTAAAATAGCAAAAGTGGATTCTAAAATGCCCTTAATGATTTTGCGCCCTGCGCTTTGGACTTTGCACCAAGATCGATAAAAATAGAGGCCAATGAATTTTATTTTGATCATTTAAAATATTTTGAAGCAGTAAACATGTCTGGCTAAATAATTCAAATCAATCATCGTCATAAATCAATCAATCAATGATTTTAAAACCTTGACTTTTCCAAACCGCAGTATACCTTGAAAATGATTATCATCCCATGCCTACTAATAATATTGACCTCGGCAGTTTTTCCAGCCAAACTAAAAGAAATAAGTCTTTCCCCAAAAGAAAAATATAATAGGAATTACTGTAAAAATGCTTTTGCTCTGCTAAAAATCACTTGGGAAAATTAACACACTTATGATTAATTTAACACGCCACTGTTTATTTAACATATTAAGCCTTTAAAAAATATTCATTACCTAAACTCCAAACTTTGATATTATTACTTTGCTTCAAACTTTTGAACAGCAATTCAAAGTCTAAACAATTATGTGTACAGCTGCCAGTCTTGTTGGAGGACTTGAAGAAGGAGAGGAAAAAAACAGAATCTCATCTGGAATCTGTTAAAAAGCGGCAAGCAAACCTCACAGTAAGTCAAATTGTTTTATATATGACTTTAACCACATATTAGAAAAAGCTGACATATTTTGAGTGAAAGATTACAAAAATTTTTTAATCACATTCTCATAAAGTATTCAAAACTGAAAGTTTACCTAAATGTGAAAATCTTTAGCTCTTTTGTAAACGACTATGATTTCTAAAGTAACTGCTGAATTGTTCATCTCTGGTGAAGACGAGTTCAGAGGCGATGAAGCAGCAGGTACAGGAGTGCTACGAGGGTCTACATTTGGCTCTGCAGGAGGATGAGCGGGCCGTTCTGGACATGATAGAGCAAGACCGCCGGGAAACCAGCAGCAAACTAAATCGAATTCTTCAAGACTGGAATCAGCACCTCTGTCTCCTGCAGAAGCACATCTCCTGCATGCAGTTGGTACAAAGCCCAGAGGAGGCCGTGAAGCAGGTAACCATTAAAGAGCAAAACTCTTTGGCCTCATTTCATTGAAGTAATCTGATTGAAGAAGCACAGGGATCACATATATTGTCTTCTCCATGTTCTCTGTTTTCAGCCATTTCCTGAGGATTTTACGTAAGGCTAACTATTTCATCAGTTTTATGATTTTGTGGCAGGGTGTTAATGCAAATAGATTTGTAATGTAATGCAACTACTGTGAATAACTGAGTTTTATGTGTACCACTTGAATGTATAGATTGGCAGGCTGTCGTAAGAAGCCGGACCCCGCTGAAGGGGAAATCAAAATGAATGAGGAAAGAATCCTGAAGCTCATGAAGGTTCTTAGAAACATCTCAAAAGATCTGAAGGCCCAGCTACAAAGAAAGAGCCTGCTTCTGGGTACAAAGCACTTTTGGATAACATACACAAACATGGGGCCCTATCATACAGTCTGCATGATAAGGCGTAAGACGTGTTTGGTGCAATTTGTTGCAATTTTCAGACCAGCGCAACCCTAATTTTCACGTTTGCGCCATGTTGTTTAAATAGCAAATTCATTTGTGCCACTTTGTGGACTCATGGGTGGGCCCACACGAAATCTGCACACGCAGAAATTTACAGATTTTTAGCTCATCATTGAGTCTATTTATTTATTTTATAAAATGTGTGTAAATTTATATTTATTCAGTTTTTTAAAATATTAGTTTTAGAAATATTATTGACTAATATAAAAATGTTCATATGATTTATTTACAATGCAGTTTGTAAAGTCATATTTTCTGTATTTTAGTAGATGCATTATATGAGACTTGCTTTGTTTACCAAATAAGTGAATCTAATTGGATTGGCATTGTAAGTTTAAAAGGTATTATTTTCTTATTTCATATAGTTTCGTATACAAGTTTTTAAGTTACGATACACCCAAAATCATTTCACATAAATCTAGAGATTCTTTACAAAATTCTGTGCAGAAATATAAAAAATGTCTGCAGATTCTGTCTGGCCCTCCTCATGGCTGATTAAAATATTGCAAAACATATTATTTTTTACATAAATATTAAAGACCACTGCCTCCATGCCTTCTTCGTGTCGGGGGCTTTTTCAGTTTATTCATGACAATTTGCATTTGTATAATGTTTTTATTAGTAGTAGTGGTATTATATGCATAGTTATATTTGTTTTAACAAAAACAAGTTTAGATTTGTCTACCTGTGGGGTTTTGGACCATATGGGGCATAAGAATAGGATGCGTGTTTGGACATAACTCTTTTGGAGCACACTTCATTTTTATTATTTATTAGTTTGCTGGAAAATAGAACTAAATTTAGAAATAGTTTTGAAAAAAATCTTTGCGCTTAACAAACTAAATTAAATATGTAGGCTAATAGATGTCTTCAGTGGAGTGCATACGACACCGTTTCCTTATCTACAAAAATGAAGGAGTAAAGAGTAAAAGTAAAGTAGAGCATGTGCTGGGGCGCAGAGTGCATTTTTCCATTCTTAAAATAACAGAAGTAGATTTGGAAACTTTGCATCATGCGCTTTAGACTTTGTGCCTAGATTATTAAAATAGAGCCTATATAGTTGAAATCAAATTAGTAGCCCCCACTGTTAAATTTAAACTCTTATATTTTTTCTACTTTTGTTTAAACAAGGCAAGATTTTTTTCCAACACATTTCTAAAAATAATTGTTTTAATAACTAATTTCTAATGACTGATTTATCTTTACAATGATGACGGTACATAATATTTTATTAGATATTTTTCAAGATGCAAGTATTCAGGTTATTTAAGTTAGGGTGATTAGGCAAGTCATTGTATAGCAGTGATTTGTTTTGAAGCTAATTGAAAAATATTGCTTAAGGTGGCTAATAATATTGACCTTAAAATGGTTTAAAAAAATACATAAAAAAAAAAAAAAAAAAATATATATATATATATATATATATATATATATATATATATATATAAACACTTTTATTCCAGCCGAAACAAATAAGGCCTTCTCTAGAAAAAAAAATACATTATCAGAAATACTGTGAAAATAGCCTTGCTCCAATAAATATTACTTAAGAATGTTTAAAAAATAATAAATATATTAAGAGGAGGGCTAATAATTTTGCCCTCAACTGTATATACACGCTATATACTGTATAGTACTTTATACATTTTTTCTTGTAGATATATTGTAAAAATAGGGAGTGAGCGAGCATTGTATACGACCGTTCAAAGGTTTGGGGCTTATAGGATTTAATTTCTTTTAAAAATAAATAAGTATGATCAGAATTGGCCGTAAACACGCTTCGGATGTTACAAATGATTATAAATTGTTACAAATAATTCTATTTTAACCTTAATTGGCAGCTGCTTGAGCTTTATTACAACTATTTCTGAAGGATTGCGTGGGACTGATGACTGCAATAATGATGAACATTATTGGATCATTGAATGAATACATTATGTTTTATTATATAATGTATACTTTATTTGATATATATAATGTGTTTATTAACATGAACTAATAATGAACAATGCTCGTACAGCAAGCATTTATTAATCATAGTAATATCCCAATTTATGCCTGTTAATTAACGTACCAACATCAACATAATCTAAAAATAATCAACTTTAGTTTCATTAACTAATGTTTACAAAGATTAATAAATACAGTAATGAATGTTTGTTTATGCTAGTAAATTCATTACTAGTAACCTTATTGTACAGTGTTACCACCTATTGATTCTGAATTTTTTAAGGACCTTTGACCACCCTGAATTGTTTTACCTCTCTAAAACTATTATAGAGCATGCAGTGCATATGAAAAATATACATCTAATTTAAGTCTGTAGTGCATGTTTATGCTCTAATATAATATTAATGATATAATTAGTCCATGTGGTGAGTAAATCAGTGAATATCCTTGCATTTCTTTTCAACAGACTCCTGTAATGTGGCGATTGACAATCAGACCTGCCACAAGCAGATCAAGGTGAGCTCAGATGGACGTAGTCTGTGTCTGTCCCCAGAGGAGCGCGGCGTCCCCAATGAGCCTGTGAGGTTTGATCAGCTATACTGTGCACTGGGATCTACTGCTATTAAATCTGGCCAGCAGTACTGGGAGGTGGATGTGCACTGCTGTCCGTCATGGGCTGTGGGCATTACCTACGGCAGCTTGCAGAGGAGAGGAAGAGACAAAGGAGCCAAACTGGGGCGAAACAGGTGCTCGTGGAGTCTTGAGTTTCAGAATGGGAATCTGACAGCCTGGCATAATGATCGACACATGCCGCTACCCGTCACTGCAGCTCGGGCAGCACCGAACAGAGTCGGGGTGTTTGTGAAGTACCAGAAGGGTCGTGTGGTGTTCTATGATGCTGAGAGCATGAGGACGCTGCAGGAGTTTTCAGCAGTGCAGACAGCTGTGTTTGACAGAGCGCATCATCAGTTTACTGAGCCGCTTTACCCAGCGTTTCGCTTCTTTTCACCCAAAGATAAGCATACAGGCCATCATCATATGCAAATATGTGACCTTAGTCTTTAATACAGGGTGTCCGCGGGGTCTTAAAATGTCTTTAATTTCAAAAACTACATTTAAGGCCTTAAATTCACTCAAATATTGCCTTGTAGTTCTTAAGGCATTTTAAACAGCTCTTAAACAATTTATCTAAAAAAAAAAACTTTGAACAAAACTTCATTGATAACTTGATTTACCAATATGGTTTAATTAACTAACTTACAATAACATTTGTTTAAAAGTTATCTGTTTATTATAGCCCATATGTGCTGAGGACACAGACCTGGACAGACTGTTGTGAACACATTTACATTATTATAGTTTTTTTTTTCTTTGTTGAAAATAATATGCATATACAGAACTAGGGTTTGCTTGTTTGACACATTATTTTTAAATATGTGGCTAAGAATTGTTTTGGATGGGGCAAGTAAACATCTTTTCTGGGGCCGTTAGAAAAAATCCTTAGTGTTTAACCCTATATAAGTCTGAAATTTCCTTCATAATGGACTTATAAAAACCCTGCGGAAACTATGTAATAATGTTTGAAGACAACTACAACTCCGATTTTTGGGGTCGGTACATTTTTCTAACGTTTCTGAAAGAAGTCTCTTTAGAATTTATATAGTTAAAGTGAAATCGAAGATTCATTCAGAAGCTAAAACCTCTGAACTTTTTTCATTGACTAAACGGCAAAAGCACCCGTTTTTAGACAAATGTTTTGTCTAAAATGTTATTTTTATATAATATATATACTATTTTTTATACTACTAAACACTCCACTTTAGCACGTTATCAATATACTTAAGTCTGCTTCAGCCATAGTATGACAGCAAAGTTCCTTGATTACCATAGTGCTGGGTGTAACAGCAGAAGACTTTAAATAGAAAAATGACTGCAATGATTTATTGAATTTTTGGAGCGAGATGCTAACAGTTCCTGCCAGATCCGGAGATCGGCTAAATAAATTTAAAAAAATACTAAAACTCAACTGTTTAACTCCAGGGGAGTTGTACAATTCGTATATTTCCCCTCAAAAAGTGGAGTTTCCTTTAAAAACAACACTTTTTGTCAAGTTTTTTTTTGTGAATACAAGTGAACATTTTAAGCTTAACAGTTACATATACAACCTGAGTTATGGTACCAAAGTATTATAAATTCAACCAGTTAAAAAGTACAGTGGCATTACCAGTATTTTGAAGCCTCAGTATTTCAATAGTACTACCATAGTACTGGTAAATATGCAACTCTAATATATATATATAGAATATATAATGCTTTATAAATAATAGTGACACAATTTACTGGATTGACAAATTACAGAGCTGGGGCCTGTACCATGAAGCCGGATTAGCTGACTAGCAAGTTAAAGTAAGTTTCAGTTTAGTTTGCACTAATTCTGGGTTTCAGGTACAATGAAGGCAGCACAGCTGTTTGTTGTCATGGAATCTTACGGTACACAGCTAACCTGCTCCGAGACAGGTTATGTTCTGGTTTAGAGATTGTAAACCGAGCACATTTTATATACAGATGCAATTTAAAGCTTTTTTTCAGGAGATAAAGCTTAAAAAAGACGACCTATGAGCTTAGATTTCTGATTCTCTGTATTCCTGTACAGTACACACATAATGTCAACCATACAAAATAACCTCACTTACTAATAGGGCAAACTTTTTCTTTTAGCTGTCCTCTTTCATGGACAGCTCTTTTCATCTTGCTGTATAAATAGTTTTGTATTTTTTTTACATCTTTTAAATAATGGGTTTAAACAGATTAAAACATAAAAAATAAAAATTTCAACATCTTTAGAAAACCCTAAACTTAAAGAGCCCCTATTATTATGAGTTTTTGAAAAATGACCTTCCATGCAGTGAAAAACATGGCTCTAAGTGAAGTGAAATATCCAGGCTTAAATCTGAAAGTGCACCATATTTAAAATTATTGATTCATTAATAAAAGAGTTGACTCATAGTAGTTTGAATGAATCACTGCTGTAACAAATCTTTGTCGGTGTGATATCGATACGAAACTCAATCCCTGCCCATCTGTTGAGTGCGCAGACCTGGAAAAATTGATCAGTTTCTTCCTCCATTTCACAAGTGTAAGTAAGTGCAATTAAAATGGTTGCCTCCTTGTTTTCTCTAGCTTTCAATTTATGATTTTAATTGTGTTTTGTTACTTGTAACCGCTCCACTGTATCTAGTTAACTCTTTATATTCTCATATCGCGTCTAAAGCCATGTTAAAAACGTGACGTGTGTCGCTTTGTTTATGGATTTAAATGCGTTTGTGAGCTCGCAATCTACTTACGTTTGTCGTTGCTATGGCCACCACCATCAGCTGTTCCTACACATGTGCGGCGGTCAAGTTTCAAATTAGTTCAACTTTTGCCACCTGAATGTGTGTCATGATTAAGAATAGAGCAATCTGCTGGTGTTAAACTGCATTGCTTTAATGCACTCCTGCATTGGGCTCACACATACACTCTGACTACTTCAAAATTGTTAAGCTGTGGTGGGCATTTCTCTCTGTCTCACGCTGACCACAGCTGATCAATCGCAATAGACTGTGTCATCTAACCAGTCCATGCAGATTAGCTTCGCACTAAGGAGGTGTTTGGAAACAAATGAATTGCTGAGCAAATCATAGGGGAGTTGTTGGGATAATTAGGTAAAAATAAATGCATATTTTGAGACAATGAAAGCGTTTTTTAACCTTGCATGCATATCAACAAGTTGTTGGAAACCCCCAAAAACCAAAATATGTCAATTTTTAATGCATAATAGGGGCTCTTTAATGTTGATTACACTTCACAGATTCAAAACAATTTTGAGCATCAATTCATAATTCACAGTCTGTAAGAAAAAAAGTAACCCTACTTTTTACATTTTATCCTTGTATTTTTAAAGAATTGTGTTGTATTATATTTACCTGTAATCAATGTCCAGCAATAAACTCCTTATGACAGGACTCTTGTCTTCCAGATTCCGCATCTTAACCACCTCATGTAAGCTGTGAATTGATAATAGACTAAATATAATTGATAAAAACAGAACTGTCAAGTTAGATATGCATTGATTGAATTTACTATTTTGATTGGATCATGTCTAGAAGCACTTTAAAATTTATAGAAGTTGAGAGTAAAACAGAGTGTCTCATCATTATATTATTTTAATATCAATATAGAATATATTTTAATCAACATTATAATATTGTTGGTGTCATTGGCGTCTTTCCCAAAATGGAATATTGTATGCTATATAAATCCTCTAAATGATAAAATATTCTAGATGATTACATTTTTATAAGTGCATTTAAAACAAGTGCCTATTAATGACAAATCCAAACAACTCATTGTACTTTTTAGGAGTACAGTACAGTACTCTATGTTACCCAAGACACTAGTTTTCCATCCATATTAGTAACAGATTACACTTACCGTGGTGTTCCTACGCAGAGCAATTTCCGGAAACCTAATGTACTGAGTGTGTCCAAGAGGAAATGACAGCTCCGCTCTGCAAACAGATACTGTGCATTGCTCTTCTTGTTGTCCAGAGGACTCAGCAGTAAACTGGGCTTCTTCAGCCGCTGAACTGTGACGTCCTCAGAAAGTGCCCTATGCTTAGTATGATTCATCCATTCTCCAGGGAGGATCAACAGCTGGCAGTCCACACAAAACCTTCTCTGCTCCAGTGGGAGAGAAGCAAACTCGAGAAATCTGCGTCAGGAAGAAACTAGACTTTAGCTAGTCTCTGTTGTAGCATACCAGTGTTATTTAAAGTCTTTTTTTTTTACATAAACACTTTAAAAATGATAATTGATGAGTGTAGCATGGCTTAATTTTGAAAATAAAAGTCATTTACCTGGAGTAGTATTGTTGATGAGTGAAAAGAGGCTTTTTAGAGCGGTTCTGTTCCTCTCTGGCCAGCATCCTTGCTTCTGATATCTATATCATGAGTAAAATGCAAATATTTACACAACTGATTTTTATATCTTTAATAATGTTTTAAATACAGGTGATACTTGTGTTAGCTATCAAATTTTCTTAATGTAAACTTAGCTTCTTAACATATTAAGTTCTACTAAATAACATTAGAGGTGACACAATGGGTAGCGATGTCACCTCACAACAAAAAGGTCGCTAGTTCGAGCCCTGGAAGTAAATGAGTGTATGGGTGTTTCCCAGTGATGGATTGCAGCTGGAAGAGCTTTGCTGTGTAAAACATATCCTGGATAAGTTGATGGTTCATTCTGCTGTGGCAACCCCTGATTAATAAAGGGACCAAGCCAAAAAAGAAAATAAATGAATAAATAAATAACATTACCCGTTCTTTCATTTTCTTTTCAGCGTAGTCCCTTTATTAATCATAATACATGCATTTAACATAAGTAGACTTTTATTGTTCTATTGTATATAAACAGTTTATAAAGTCCGCCCACAAACACAAATACATTTTAACTACATATTTTTACTATATCATGGCCATTAAAGCCTGATGTGTCAAATGCGAATATATATTCTTAAAATTATAAATGTACAACTTTAGAAAAACATTAAGTCTTCTTTTACCTGTTTAATGGGTTAAAGCATCACATTATAAGTGTAATATAACTTCATTTACAACACCATTGTACAAATGAATTTGTTTTATTTTTAGCAAACAATAATGACTCTTTGAAATGATACCTAATTCTATTATACATTTGAATAATCACATATCACAATAAGTATGTTGATCTGTTGCACTAAAAGATGATGGAACATTATTTTTCTGTAAAATATTTATTTATATAGATAAATATTAGACTTTACTTAAAAAAACATCATTCGAAACATTGAAGTCAGCAGTTTGCTTGCATTCATTGTGCTTTTTCAATCTTCATTCATTTTCTTTTTCGGCTTAGTCACTTTATTAAGCAGGGGTCGCCACAGAGGAATGAACCGCCAACTTATCCAGCATGTGTTTTACGCAGCAGATGGCCTTCCAGCTGCAACTCAGCACTGGGAAACACCCATACATACTCATACACTACGGCTTATCCAGTTGACCTGAACCGCATATCTTCGGACTGTGGGGAAACCTGAGCAACCAGAGGAATCCCACGAGAACATGCAAACACCACACAGAAATACAAGCTGTCCCAGCGACCTTCTTGTTGTGAGGCGTTTGTGCTACCCGCTACGCCACTGTGACACCCTAATGTGCTTTCTATGAATATTAAATATTAAACATCAGCGGATTTAATTCAATGTTGACGACAAAATATAGCCTAATGTTGACCATTATATTAAATTCATATTACTTTATTCATTAAATAGAACTTTAGACATCCGCTCACAGATAATGTACAACATGACGTTGGTTAAAGAAACACAAGCTCAATTTTCGTTATGAAAACTAACCTTCTCGTCTGCCCACTGAAAAAAGTTGCAGTCTTTTCTGTCCCGACAAGCAGAGCACGCGTAAAACCTCCTGCCTTTTTCTTCTTCTCCGTGGCCAGTTTTCTCGAAAAGCAGAGCGGGTCCTGAGAAATACAAGTGTTGTTTTTTTACATCATTATTTTACAGTACAACATGTGGCAGAGCAGCAATATTATTTCATTATCTCATACCATGAGGACATCGTGGTGCAGTTTTGTCACTTTCTTTTTGAACAATGACTTCAATTCCGCCGCTTTCCACGACATCATCCGCTGTTTTGCTCATTTTTTGCGAGAACTATTTCAAATGAGAATCAAAATAACACTCACATGCATGACAGGAGGCTGCCATAACAGCGCAAACCACGCCCCTTACGCGAAAACCCCACCCCGCTGCTGTGACACGCGCGATTTCATTGGGCAACGTAGTTACTTGTCGTCTGAGAAAGAAGTTCAGAGTGCACATCAATCAAGTTCGTCGTTGATGAATCCATCGTTGACAAACGGTAAAAACTTCTTTCTTAATAATGTGTAATATTAATAATTTAATACTTGGAGATGTGAGTGTATGTTTTTTTCATTTTTTATAGTGTTAATTTTATTTTTTTAATCTTTATTTTTATATTTTCGATCGCCCTCATGAGAGTACGATTGTAGTGCCAAAGACCAAGCTGCGGATCTAAAGATAAAAAATATATTGTTTTTTCATTTAACACGCAAATATCGTACACAAAGTCTTTCAAAAATTTGGGATCAGCAAGAATTGTAATTTTGTTTGTAGAAGAATGCTTCAATTCATGACCATTCAAAGCAGCAACTTTTTTTTTTTTTTTTTTTGTGGATACTCACAAAAACAACAAAACCTTGCTCTTATAAACTTTCACTCACTTATCTCATCTGAGGTGATCTTTAGGTAAAAATGCTTCATCAAAATATTGAATGAATCTGAGAACAAAGTCTACATACATGTCCTACAGATTTCCTATATGTTTTGCTGACAGATCATTTAGAATACTGCTGCATCATTGTTGTAAACATTTGATATTTCTAAATGTAAAATAAAAATATCTAACATTTCTGCACACTTCTGTGTTTTTTTTTCTATAGGCTCATTACAGGTGCCAGCACAATGTTCATGTTCGACCAGGCATGGCTAGTCAACGACGCCTGTCAAAAAACACATGCTCTGGGGCAAAAAATGGTTTGCACTTCGGTAAAGACTGTAGTCAAAAGGGGAGGATCAAGTAGGTGAGTTAGAAATGTCACAATTGGAAAACATTTTAAGTTTTTTTTTTAAGTTTAAGAAATTTTAAGTTTCTTTGTGTGATTTGTTTTTATTTTTCAGGAACAATGATCCCCATAT